TATATCTATATAAGAGGTTTAACGGTAAATCATGTACTCCTTAGTTAATGAATAATTATTTTTTTCTATTCCATCCCGTCATTTACTCTTTAAATTTTACATAACTACTAGGTATACACCTAAGTTATGATTTACATGATTAATCCTAAACAATATAAGAAAAAAAAAATTTGATCATAAAAATTTACAGTTTTGTGGCTCCAAACACTACACATAAAATTATCAACATAGTATAGAAAAATAATAATGATAATAAAAAAGAAACTCACCACTCGGTCTGTTCTCATATCGAACACTAACAACTTAGGCGGGCAGATCGTGTTGAAAGTCTCTAGACTGTCCATGACTCCACTGTCCAGTACCCAAAGCCTGTTACACCTGTCTGCCCTGACTCGAAAGACGGACACCAGGCTGGAACAGTTGGGCGTTGGCGACGTAACCAGATCACCGCTGGACGCTTCGCTGTGCCATTCCCAGTTGGGATATGCCTGCACAAAAATAAGGAGTTTCAAAACGCCATAACGCAGAAGCGCAATCAACATTATGCAATACAATTATTGTGCTGCACGACATCGTTATGATATTATATGTTAAGTCAAATACTCAAATGTTAAGTTAAGTCATTGGTCAGTAATCACGCGTATTTTAACACGCGAATCCAGAACTTATTTACCTGTAACAATGGCGATTTGTGCGTGTCATATGTCACGCCAGCTCGGTTGCGAGGTATCCATGCCAGCGTGGCCGGATTTCCATTAAAAAGTCTCGGGGTCGTAATGAATATCCTGTCCCAACCTTTGGACAACAAATTACACAGATTATAAGCATTTTATTTTTRAAAAGAAAAAATATATTTTGGATTKCAGGCGTRTCGAAATTCGTCAAATGACAAATAAATAATAATATATTGAATTAATAAACAATAATAATCCACATAAAACACATTTTAACAGCTTGTCGTAGATATGAAAACAAAAAAAAATAATATCATTTTTAAAAAATCATATAAGCTAAAACAGTAATACATATAATTCATTATAAATATTAAATGCTCGTATTTATAACCAATGGTAATAAATTCAAATAAATGTAAATCGTCTATACCTACGCTAATGACTAGGGCAGAGGACTTGAAACATTTGCATATTTGTTTTACACAGTCACGAAAATAGCAGAGTACGATACAAATACATTTCATGCTTTCACAAAGCTAGTTTTGAAAAAATACATATTTTGCGTTCTTTTGGTTTTTAAGGCATATTTTACACTTTTATACGCTAATCTGTACTTTTTGAGACATATTTTACTTAAATCGATTTCTTCCACTGAGACATTTTTATTTCAAACAATACAGTCAAAATGTTAGGATAAAAATGTATTTATTTTTAATGTTTGTCGTATAATATGGTTTTTGACTGTTCACGGGCACACATTCTTCGTAGAAGCGATAACGATCTAACGTTGTACACTATACCTACGACATCACCACCACAGTTTTTTGCGCACCGCTCGGGCTTTTATTCGATTAAGATTTATTTATAAAACATTTCTAGACATGACAATAATCAATATTTTAGTAGGTATTTAGTCTCAGTAAGTTCTGCGGAATGTATATTAGTACACCTAAAAAAAAAAAATTAGTGCATATTATGAGGTTTTTTAAGTGCATAAGTGCTTGCATATTTAGAGCTTTTTTAGAGCTACAAGTCCTCTGCCCTACTAATGACCATTGATGTTGAAGTGAATTTTTCAATAAAAAATTAATAATAATATATTATTATACATATTTTAATAGCTTAGAGAGAATTAAAGGAATTTAAAACCATTTACTCCGCATCACTGTCCCAATACAAATAGATTTTTAATTAATATATTGCACACTTCTGTGTTATTTTGATATATTATAAGAAATATCACAATATTATACTMAATAACGACCGAGTTTACTTACATTCTCGTAATATAGGATGACGCATGGTTTTCGAACATTTTTATTCGTTTAGAACCACCTAAACCGAAACATATAACATAATATCGATAACATAAATATTTTATTGCAAATATCTATAAAACGACTAGAATGGTTGTGAGACATACTATCAAATGGGTTGTAAAAACGAATTTTACTGAGGGTAAATTCAAAAACTGTAACTATTTTCACGATCTAATTCCAAATACACCGTCGATTTGGTTACATTTCATGTATTATATAAAATWTWTTTTTAAATTAAAGCAATTTATTAGRTGTAGATAAGTAGATGGATATAATATGTTGACTGTAGTTGGTATGAAATATTTTTCATGAAAAAAGTACCTAAATGTAAATTAAAGCTTTGCCGAATTTATGGCGCCATCTAGTTTTCATACCAACGAGATTAAAATATCGACTAACATTTTTCAAACAAAGACTAAAAATAGCATTATTATCATCACTTGTAGTTTTCACACAGAAAAATAAAAAAAAATAAAATGCCTACAATAATTTACATATCTAATCATTATGACGTTATCATCTAAATCATAACATACACTGTGATACTATTAAAATAGTATAATATTTTAAGTTACAACGTTTCAAGTTTATGGACAAAGAAAACACGTACAATACGTATAATGTAGAATTAAATTAAAATATCGATTTCATTCTCTTGATGACTGATTTAATTTCCAAAAAATTGTATATAATATATAAGAACCTAAGCATTTTTTTTTAGGTGTCATAATAAGCTGTAGTAATAGATACAGAAATAAAGTTACATATTATATGCAATATACAAATAATAATTAAACAATATTCAAATCATTATTCATATATTATTATTATATAATATTATTTACTTAATTTTTTTAATTTCTTACCGAATGTAAAAATGTAAAAATGTAAAAATGTAACACTTATGTTTTTCTTGAATTAGTATAAAGTAGTATAATTTTTTAGACTGTTAAAAATGTAATTACTTAATAATACAATATGAATTATAAAATAAATTATTGTAGTTTATTTATTTCAAGTCCACTTAGGTATCTTATACTATTAGATTATTATTTGATTTATTATAATTRATGGATAATAATAGATCACAATCTACTTTAACATATTAATTTTACCTTAGTTTTGTCGATACTTACACAAGAAAAGTATGTTATCTGCATATTATGTACATTAATAGTTAAAATTAGTTTCCAAATTTAAAGAAATCTTAAAATTAAAAATTGTATCTTATTGTAATAATAAGAGACAAAGGAAAATATTTAAGTCCTGTTATATTTAAAACTGCCGTTTTCCAAATAATGAGTGTTATATATTTTATCTTTTTTTAAGAACCTATCTATATATATAGAAGTATCRATGTATCATTATTTTATACTAGCCGTTACTTAAATTTACTATGTAATTGTTTGCAATTTAATAGATTGAAATTAAGAGCTATATTTATAAAAGTAGATCAAAAACATTGATACACTAAAAATATCATCAAATATCCATTAAAAAAACAATTTTTATTCATGAAATAATTGAAAACATACAGTAAAAAGCACAAATATGTGCAAAAAAAAAACTTCACTTGAATAGTTACTATAATATCGCCACGGACTATCCATAATATTAAATAAAAATAGACATGATAAATAATTTGATAAACTTTGTGTTGCAGTATATTGTTGTAATCTAAACTACTCGCTGGCCATTAAGATAAAAATTTGTTTATACCTATAGCACTTATGACAAATTCAGTTCAATTATTAATTCCTGACATTGATTTATAAACATATTTACCCAAGTGCTTAATTTTCAACAAAAATGTAAAGTATGCRCTAGATTTAACTAGAAAGTCGAAACAAATTTCTTAATATTAAAAAAATATGACCTTTAACCCAAAAATATTAAGTATACAAAAAAAAACAGTTTTGAGTATTTTATTGTATTTCGTATTCACTAATATTAACATACAGTAAAATTAACAAAATAATAACCAAAAGCATGAAAGTCCTTGCTCTACTTACTACACGTCATCTAATTAATAATTTATAAGATAGATCAATATTTGGTATTATATAGGCTGTGTTCGCCGTCATACAGTAGAAAGCATAGTGACAATGCTAGATAATGACTAAAAGACTACATATTATTATGATTAATAACCATATATTAATAATCTGTGAGTTTAAATTTTTTTTTAATGCATCCACGTGAAATTTATAATTATAAAAAAAAATGTATTATTCAGATATACATATATATTTTTTTTCTATCTGACTGATACTATGAAAATATGTATAGTTTCAACCTAAAGTTATACAAAATACAAAATAAGGTAACTAATTTTGCATATTATATAAATCATCTCATGATAAATATTCGAGCGATTATTCTAATCGTATGCAGTATGCATTAGTATAATAAATTACAAAATATAATTCTTATTGATTTAAGAAATTATGGTACTTAACTTAAGATTTGAAATAAATAATACATTAATTATTATAATTTCAGTTAATGTATGTATCTTATGTTTAGTTATGATAAAATAATAATTATTGATAACTTAAATTTGAAATAAAACAAATCGCTTCAGTTTTTATATTKTGTACAAGACAGTAGGTACGTGAGGAATGAGAGTTCCTTAGTACCTATAAATTATGAACCATAAATTTTAAGTCTATATATACTTTAGGTAATTCATATTATTCAAACTGCAGGTCTTACAGTATGATTAAATACTTAGATTCTTACGTGACGATGTATTTACGATAGTTTATCAAATCCGAGAACGATAGAGACTTTAACGCCTTCACACAGTTTACATAAGTTTGACGGTATGCCATATGCATAATGTATATTATGTATAGTATGAATATCGGTACGACATTATKTATATACTAAGAAAAATAAAATAAACAATTATACACTAACCAATTTCGATTCCGGTGGATACCGTGACGTCGGACTTGTACGAATCGGCGTTGGGATAATTGAACGGCACATCGTACCTGAGCAGATTCCATTCGTTGACGACCTGTAGATTGCCAACACAGGTGACGGCTGTTACGAYGCACGCCAAAAATACCGCGGTTGCGGAGATCATGTTTGAAAAACTAAACAAAATTCGATCACTTCGCGATATATAACTCAAACGGTTGAAAAAAAAAATGTGAGAGACTTACAATCGATGAGACCGCATTACCGAATCGTTGCAAGTCTACGGTGAAACTAACGCTTTAATGCTTTATCAGCGTTCAGCACGCTGTCATCTGCCGGACTGTCTCGTGGGCCACCACCACCACCGTTAGAACCGGTCCCGAATCCCCAATGTAGTATACGCGCGTGCGCTGAATAAACGCCGTTCTCAATAATTAGCGGCATCGTCTATTATTAATGCATACTATTATTACTATTATCATTGTTATAATTATTATTATTGTTAATTTAATTACAAAGTGCCGATAACGACAATATAATATATGTTCGCCGGAACTGCTGGATATTGTTCCGGAAAAACGCAAGGTCGATACGAAACGATCGCTTAACTGCAAATAAAACCCTGCTAATACAAGGTGTATATTTTGGAATATTTAAATAATTCTTCCSCGTGAAATAGATAAATCCTCCTCATATACACTATGCAAAAATATGTTTAAAATTATWTATTTACTTATTTATTTATTATGGCCTTACAGGGAAACTATGAAATTTGGTTGTTGTGTTCATTTTTGGTGGAGTATTGCGAAGTATTAATTGAAACTTAACAATACTTCATTGCTTTGAAAAAAAGTTACAAAATTCCAAATTGAGCGTTATAACTTTAGGTTTGTACAAACATGTTTGARCGAATCGTAATAACAACATAATATCTGTAATTCTGTCGTAATAAATATTGTTATCGGAATCTAAGAAATAATGGTGACGGTGCGACAATCGTTTACTTATCTAGTTATCTATAATATCGGATTTGTCCAACCAACCTAACCTATATAATATATATTATTAAGTTTATAGCGGAAGCGGAGTTCGTGTACCTATACTTAACGTAGATAAATATTATAAACAACTGGTTATACCATTTTATTGAATATTTCAGTAACATTTTTTTCGTTTAATTACATCGCAGTTTCCAACGAACAATTTACCTACTTGTATTAATATTAATAGGTATTCTATGTGCAATAGTATTCAATATTAAATAAATATAAATCACTTTAATCATTATAATCATAGTGTAGAGCTTKAACATGTATAGTTGTAGCAATTATTCTGGACAACTTAATGATTGTCGAAATATAACATACAACAGTTATGTATTATGTAAAATAAAGGATTTATGATATTATACAACTTCACTAAAAAAAGCTATTAAAAATTACCTAACTTTTACATTCTCATTGTTTCGATTTTTTTCCATTAAAAYAATCTTTCTAGATGAGTAGTAAAACAAATGTCCATATTGAATTCCAATATTCGATATTTTTTGGTTTTTATGATCATCGTATCCGTGCAGACAATCAGTCACACCCATTATAAGACTGTAGACTGTAGTTTACATTGTAGACTGTCATTAACAACGATTGAACGATATAATACTTATTAGTTATTACAAATTATAATCATAAAATAATGTACATAAGCAACRACTGAAAAAAATGTCAAAATAAACAATTCAACTTTTTTCTCTTATCAATAACATAGCAATTATTTTAGTARATATTATACTTTGTGTAGTATTTATTGTATTCATATAATGTTTTAAAATTGTTCCGTCACGATTTTTTTTAGTTCGTACTATTATTACTTTCATAAGGAAAATCTATAAAATAACCATTCTTCTGACGTTTWAAACTCAAACAAGATTGAAGAAGTCGGCAAAACACAATTCTGTGGTCTAATTTAAGCACTAGATTTGGATAAGGAAAAATCTAAAACGTATATCACCATATCGGACACTTATAATGATGATTGAAACAATCTCGTATTTGTTCAGACTCAAAAAACATATAATATGTATAGTGTATACATATATATGTATAGTAGTTTAGTGATTAGTGATCGTGGTTTAGATTGATGGAAATCGACATTCCAATATTCAATTTTATCGTTATAAATACAACTAATATAGGTATTATTTCTATATAGATGATAATATATTTATTATACCTTTATACAGGATATACAATACTTTGATTGTCCAATATAGCTTGTAATAGCATAATTAAAATGCTTAATTTACAAATGGTTCGAAAAAATGKAAGATTATATTATTTTGTTAAGAAAAATGTTAAAAATGTTGGCGATTCATTTTTATATGTTGTTATTTGATTATGTATTTTGTCTAATAATATATATATTTTTTTTTTAAACGTAAAAAATTATGGCGATACGACATTTTCAATTTGAGTAAAGTAATTAAAGTAATTAAGTAGTTAAGTATCAAAATCTAATCTTTGTTGACAACAAAGAATTTCACTTTCTAACAATAATTTTCTAATGTAATTATAATATAGAAAAAATAAAAGTAGAGGTTAATTGGACGTAAAAAAGCCGGTTTTTAAGCTAGGTTACTGTTATTTCACGCAACAATACTAAACATAATATTAGGTATATGGTATATTTTAAAAATTAAAACGACTCCTACTGATATATTGTTGTGCCCTTTTGATTTTAAAACAAAATGTCAATAGTCAATATWTTAATATTTGCTAATCAAATAATTGTTCTTACTGGTTATCACTATGATGCTATCTATAAATGTGTTTTGATACGAGTTTATATCTATTGTATACAAAAACTGTGAAAAAAAGATAKACGCACAACATATTATTTACAGGATATCGATATGTCTATTGTCTATAATATGTGTATTTACCGATAATAAATGTGCGGTGACTCGGTGTGTGTACCAATATTATTCAAGCATGGTTTTTAGATGATGATGTTTAGGATGTTTTCGACTTTTCGTATAGATTKCAATCTTGTTCAATCTGAAAAACGAAATAACCAAAAGTGATATTTCATTTAAATTGTCGAACACAGATAAATGTCTGAAATACATTGTTGTAGAAAACCAATACATKTACAATCTAAAAACTAACATAAATTCTTTAATAACAAAAAAGATACATAATACAACATATGATACGCATATTGAGTTATAGATACACGGTTCATACATTGTACACAATTTATAAGAGATACTGAAACAACCATTTTGTAATAATTCTCATTTAAATAAGAAAAAAAAGAATTACGTAAATAAATGTGTTGTGTGTTATAGAAGAGTCCTCAAACAACAGCCAGAATGTATTAAAACCTACTGGTAAATAGCTGTTAGGTATTTTAACGATTAAATGGTTTCATTTTGTATACTGCAGTTGAGACAAAATTGGTATTGACTGTTACTGTTATATATTACCTATACACCTAATAATTAATATATTATATATACAACATTATAAATATCATAAAACCATTATCATTGTAATAATTCTATATTACCAATCAATTCAATCGTCGACTACTTCTATAATAAACTCCTACAATCTCACCGTTCAAATAAATAATAATCGTATTAAAACTATCATTACTCGTATGTGTATGTGTGTTTGTGTGTGTGTGTGTGTGTGTGTGTGTGTGTGTCTATAAGACGTCTTATGATGACAAAAAACCAATTTCAAGTTATTCTAAATGTTAATTTTTATAAGTACAACTGAAAGTATTTTGTCCGTAAACAGAAAAAAGAAAGTGCTACATCCAAAATGAATAATTGCTTGTGTATGGACCACAATTTTAAATGTATTGTGTATACAGATTGCAGATGTATTTGGTAAGTTATATTATTTATTATTTAATATAATATATTTATTATTAAACATTTTGTAGACAATATTATTTTGATGGAAAATTCAATACAAAACATTTGTTTAACCCATTATAACAAAAACTGCGAAATGAAACAATTATTTCAAAGTGATGTTSTTATCTAAGAAACAAGCAGTACCTGGCGGAACAAGTTACTGTACCTATTATTTATAACATAATGGCATAAAATAATCATTTAAAAAAAAAATAAACAATCCTTCAAAAAGTATAAATGCCTAGGCGCCGCCATCTAAAATATCATCAAAAAGTAAGTAAAAATATAAATTGAAATCACGCAACATAAATTAAAATTAAAATCAAATAAACTGCGATATCATAATAAAAATAAATAAAAATAAGTGAGTCTAAATATCTAGAAGAATTGTGTTCAATTCTTTGCAAAATTCAAATATTTTAAATGAATAACAATAAATAAAAATCTAACAAGGTATATCTCTGACCACCTATATAATATACAATATTGTTATATATTATACAACAATGTGTGCGTTTCGAAAATCTATATAATGAACTGTAATATAATAATAACTACTTGTCGTCAAACGCTTTATTATTATTATTATTATTATTATATTAATAAAATAAGAATAATATAATCATCATATAGCTCGGTGAAAGTGGTATTATGGTCGCCTATAATATGTATGTAGTTTACTTGTGTGTGAGTTGCAGGCAATGGCGCTCATCAAACGCACAAAATATTAAATTATTTTATTACCTATTAAATTCAGTAATAGTATATTATATATATATATAGTGACAATATATTTACCGTACACAAAGGATGGCCAAACTATTAATTTTGATTCAAATTTGAAATATTTAACGATAATATATTGTTCCTTAAGAGATAGACTTATATGCTCACATGTCAGTCAGAATATTGCAATTAGTACCTACATTAATATTAAAAATACTGATTTATATAGTTATAATACATTTCAAACGTATAATTAACTAAGAATAAGTAATTAAACATTTARTAACAACTAGAATATCTAATATATCAAATCATCATCGGTACGTCATGTTTTCATCATTTTAAAATAATATAACACGATGATGTTAAATTGATGTTTAACACTGCATTATATTAGCATTGGTGCATGTATAACAGATTTATGTAACTTATAAGTGCGTTTATTTCTCGATGTTTATATATTTTAAAAATTGTATGGTTGTATAAAAAAAATCGTACACATATTATAAGAAATTACAGRAGATCGACTTTGAAATCATTAAGGATCGGACGTTTGTCCACCCCCGCCGAAGACTTTTGTAAGATGAGCTTAATGATAATGTAATTACCCTTTTGTGACGATTGATTAAAAGGATATTAGTTGGTAATGTAACATTCAATATAATAT